AAAAGGTTTATGACATGTGTAACTCGAAAACTAGCACTTGTAGAGAGCCTAGACCTCCACCGAGAGGCACAGTTCCATTCCTTTAGCCGCAGATCCTCCAGGTAGAGCTGCCTCTGGGACCAATGGAGCGTGAAATGCGTATAAAACGGCTCCACATGAGGCAAAGTAGCAAAATATTACTTACAAAATGCCTGCATCAAGAGGTGGATCCAGATTCACTTCTATAAATGTAGTGATTGTGACATTTCCGACCTTTCATAAAATAATATTGTTAAATGAGTAAAAGGGCAAACTAACAAACTCTGCCGATCGCATGACCTCTACTCCTGTAAGCTTTTCTCTGTGTAACATTTATGAAACATTTGTGAAAACTAGTGATAGAACCAAAACAGTTTCAGACATCGGAAGTAGTTGGTGGTTTCGAAGTAAGGTTTTCCAATCTTTAAAATGTGGTTTTATGGCAATCTTGGTGTTCTCTGTGGACGTGCAGCAAAATAATGTGATTGGTTGGTCTTGTCTGCTCCTGTTCTCTGAACAAATGAACAAAGGGGCATGTATTGTGGATGAAAGCTGTGGGGAGAGTGCAAGATTGGTTTTGGGGAGCACTGATGAGACAAGGAGCAGAGAGCACTTAGAGCACGCTCCATATTCAGACAGCGATGCCAGCGCCTCTGCTGCGTGCATAAATTCAACTCTTCAATGTGCCTGCGTGTGTTCGCCACGCACAAGTTCACTGTAGCCGCATTTAACAGGTCGGGCTGAACTTTGCAAGTGAAAATATTGCTTGAATCTTACGTGTGGAGCGACGTGCATCCTCCATGTTTCCTTGGCAACGAGCTGACTGGAGTAAATGAGTGTCCTGGCTCTTCTGAGGGATTGTGGGAAAGCAATATGCCAGCGTTCCGCCCCATTAGTTTGACGGACAGTCTGTTTGGCCTATAAGAGGTCAGCTGGCAAGGCGGCCATATTAGTATTCCACAGACGGGACCTTGGGATTAGTTTTACTCTAATGTCAATCTACCTGCGTGTGGGTGCGGGTGTCTTGTAGGAGGTAATAGCTGTCCCGCTGAGAAGCATTTGCGGGCAGGTGTGCCTCTGTGTGTGTGTGTGTTTTGTTTATGTGCCCAGTTGGGGGTTTGCAGGCTCCTTGCCAGGTAAGCATGTTCTCCTATTATCACTTTCCAGTCACAATCTCGTCCTCCCCCCGTGTGCATCCAAACACCTCTCCCGCTGCTCAGTGGTCCACACACGCCAAAGCCCTCATATCTGCCCCCTCTCCGCGCCCATTCATCCATTTCTGTCTTTTTATTCAAGCCTATCGCAAAAACCTGGTTAACATTCATCTCTAGCCCTTTTGTTTTTTAGCCATACACCACTCTTTTTCACACTTGATCCCCTTCCAAACCCATTCTCTTGTGTCCTGCCCAGCTTTTTTTTGCAATGCTCTACCTTTTGTCTGTTAGCAGTTCATACACTTTGCAGTTATTTTTCATACATTTTACAAATTTGAATCAATGGAAGAGCTGCTTCTTGAGTTTGAATATAAATGAGGCGAATAACAAAAGCATCCCAAATTGACTGCTTCCTGTGCTGGTAGCAGGCAAGATGCTGAATAATAATATACTGTAAGTAAATATCTGGGTCCAAATGAAGAGGTTCAGGCCCAGTTTGGAAGGTATGGAGCCATCTTGAGCACTGGTGGTGGTGGACACATCAAGAAGAAAAGAATGGTTTCTTCAGTGAGACAGAACTTACAGTACATCTGTGATTCTTTGTTGACGTTGCGGGTGGTGCATCCAATTAGAGCGGACTGCAAAGGATATGAGACTGTTTCCTGTCGCATTCACTCGAGTGATGTCCTCCTTTAATTGAACACCTAAAAAGGATAGCTATTCAGAAAATGTCATCACTTTTTAGGCTAACAATCTCAAAAAATGTCACTGATGGTAATGAAAAAGTCCTAATTTTCTTGCATTGATTAAGGAAAAAAACACAAACAGTACATTTACCAAAAGCACACTGATACCCAAACATTACCGGCACATGACAGCGCATTTGCTCAAGTAGAGAATAAGATGCAATGAAATGGCCGGAGAGTATTTTGCTCTGCTCTTTTTTTGCCAGTCTACGTCTTTCAAGGAACCAACTTCACTTTATTTAACTATCTATGTCACATTATGACAGCAGATGAAAGAGTCTCTAAGTAGATAATCTGTACCTGACCAAAGAAACGTTTGACTTCAATGCTGATGTGCATATACCCTGCTTAAAGCTTACAACTCCTATGACCACCTCCATGAGTTTGTTCTGTGGACAGGGCTGATATCAACGGCCTTTTCAATCTGGAATGTTTTCTCTTCAGATCAAAACAAATTAAACTCAATCTGTTTGTGAACTCTTTGGAATATAATCAAGAGACTCGGCTCTTTGCAAGGCTGACAGCTGTAGTTTCGACCTGTCATGTCTGATTTCTTCTCTTTAAAAGTAGTAACAACCTCTGCAGAGTTTAATTTTCACAAAGTTCTCCTACACCCCAAAGTATTTCATGAGATGGAGCATATTTTTACACAGTCATTTATACAAAAATTGTTCTCCCAGAACGTACAAAATGGTAACATGGATTCCCTTGTAACCCCTAAACCAGACTATTGGACATGAGTCTCTCACAGGGGTTCTGATCCAGCTTTTCTTCAAACACCTCTTTGATTAGCACCCTGCCCCTCTCATGTCTCCTCTTCATGTCTTGGCCCTATTGAAGTGTCAGCACCATGCAGCGATCCTGGCTGGGGCTATTACTGCAGCTCCCACCGCAGGCCTCAGTCTGATGGGACTCTACTCAGGATGTCTGTAGAGCCATGTGAGGCAGGCAGCTCTCTCCACTGCAATTAGCTGAGTTGATTCAGACCAAAAATGCCACACTTGTTACGATAGCTACAGTGCATTTTGTTATCCTAAAACAACCTATAGTTCAAGTTTCATCAAATTGAACCGTGTTAATTATTTTGGACAATTGTTTATTTTTAGTTAAATTTTTGCGTCTACACCAGTTGGGGATCTCCATTGGCTCCCAGTTCAGGCCTGGATTGACTTTAAATTCCTTCTTGTTTGTAAACTGTTCAAACTGTGTGCAGTGTCAGATCTTCTACCCTATCCTCCTTCTAACCCAGGCTGAAGGTGGGATAAGTAGCTTTATACCATTTTTCTCCTCGTAAATTCAATGTCTTGCTTAATGTCAAATGTGCTGTGAACTTGAGCTCAGTAAACTAAATGCCCTGTTTTTTAGACTTTCTTATCCTGAGGCCGTGCTTTGTCCTTTTGGTGTGTTACACTCTCATTGTGAAGTGCATGAAAGGTTTTTCTTTATGTACAAAATACAGAAAACAATAAACTAGATACAACAAATATAAACCACAATTCACAGTTTGAAAAGGGGTTTGAGGAAGCAGACGTTGAGTTAGTTCCGACCCCTATCACTCATACAACACAACATAAAATAAACGCACACACACACAGGTACACTATCTGACCCTACTCTCTCCATTCTCCATCACTCCCTTTCCTCCACATACTTCCTTTAGCAGCTCTTCTTTCTTCTTATTTCCTGATCTTTGAACGGAAACATGTGTTTTTACTTTTGTGAGTTGTTCCAAAGAATAAGTCCTCGCTCTGAGATAAACATCGAATTCTAAAGTAGCACTAAATATAGGCACTGTTGTTCTATGCTTCCTCTTGGGTTGTAATTATGCAATGCATCTCTCTCCTCTTCCTCTGCTATATCTACTCTGTTATATATAAATAATTGATATTAAAAAAATGGTTTTCCATGTAACTTTGGGAACAATATTACATTGAACGAATGTCATGAATTGTTTTACATAGTCCTCAAACAAAACCCAGCGGTGACTCACTCCACTCCAAAGTCTCATTCAATTTCATTATTTTTGGACATAACGTCCAATTTTTGAGCCCAAGTAAGGCTACAATCTATTTGATCAATTTGCCAATAAACGATTGAACAACTATTTGCCTTTTCTTTTTACATAGATACTTTAATGGAACCAATCTAGGAACCTGATATATATTCATTATTGTCATCCAAAGAAAAGTGAACGTAACATTTACTTCTACCAACAGTTCACTGCTCCATTTGTGAATGGCTCCTGGCTGTTGTAAATCACATGGCCTCCCTTAGCAGCAAAACTGTTATTCCTTCAGCCTCCAGCATTAGCACAAGAAAGGTTAGCTAGCACGGCATAACTCTCTGTTTTATTCTCTATATGCACATTTATCTATGGGAATATATCTCTCTGTATTTTTAGTATTGCATTTATGGAGCCTATATTTATGTATGAGTGATGTGGGCCTATCACTCATAAGGTCAAGAGGTGGTGTGTTAGCTTCAGGCTATAGGAAGCAGTCCATCCATGAGATCTGCGGCGTAAAGGCCACAATGCACTGCTCTTTCTGCATAACCACATGCATCTTTTCCAACCCAATACACACACACATCAAACATACACTATTGTTGACGCTCTCTGGAGTTCCCAATTTCTTTCATTTCTCACCTTTGCTGCTTATCTTCTCCGCATGGACTGTTGTTTATAACAATCTGCTGCGCCCCTTTATTCCCTCACAGTCTCAACTTCTCCTTTTTACATTTGGCAGGCTTATCGCACTTGTTCCTATTTCCGAGTTGGTCCCGCTTCAGAGTTGGTGGACCTCAAGGCCTGTTCACCAGTGTGTTTTGTCAGTGTGCGCGACATCCCTGTTGTCACGATTAACACAAGTCTGATGGAAGACACACACACACACACACGCTGGCTCTATGTGCTCGCCCCTCCAAGGACCCGCACTGTAGTGCTCCGAAGTCGTCTTTCGCTGCTTTTGCTCTTTGCTCACTGTAGAGGTCGACTTCTGAAAGCCACCAGGACGTGAAAACTTGAAACAAAAGATGTGAGATTAACATTTTGAACCTTTGAATGGGGGCCTTCCTGTTCAACATGCGCTCCCAGGGTACGAGTGGGATTCCTATATAGTCACACGAGCTGCATGAATTTGTTTGGAGAGGTGGGGAGATCGTATACGTACAGAAAATGACGAGGAAAATATATTGCAACTAGAAGTACATTTGCAGAACACAGACAGCCGCGGAGAGGAGTCATTCAACTCCTTAAAAAAATCAAAAATCTTGTCGTTTTAATCACTCACACAGTGACTCAGTCCAAAGAGTCATCCATCCATTTTCTTCTGCTTTATACCGGGGGCAGCAGTCCAAGAGAGAAGCCCAGACTTACCTATCCCCCCACGGCTCCTCCTGGCTAATTCAAAGGAATCTCAAGGAGTTCCCAGGCCAGTTGAGAGACATAAGTCCCCTCCCAACGTGTTCCTGGGTCTCGGGTTCCGGGTTGGACATGCTTTCAAATGCACCTCCCCATGGAGCCACCTCAACTGGCTTTCTTTCAAATGTGGAGAAACAGCGGCTCTACTCTGAGCTCCTCCAGTGTGACCATGCTCCTCACCTTATCTCTAAGGTCCAGCCACTCCTGCAGTGGAAAGCAAATAATTGAAGTAGCATACTAAGCACAGGGCAATAGACCATCTCATGTTTCGGGAATTCTCTGCATATTTTATGTAGCAAGAATAACTCTATTGAATGTGTTTGAATAGACTAACGGTTTTTTTAAGTGGGAGTTTTTTA